CTACGGCAATTAACAAAGGTAACTGAATTTGGGCTTAACTTATCCAAATTGATCAAATTGAAAATGAAATCAAATTCTAAACAGTGGTCGCAATTGGACACTGTAATGAGATGATAAGTGCTATCTAATCCAAGATTTTACTCGTTAGTCTATCTACGTTGGTTTCAATACTCACTGTTTCGAGCGGGGAATGATGTGTGTGGGTCGTACAGGTCCGGAGCTGCATCCACTGCGTTGACCCACCAGTAGTGTCGATCCCTGCTCAGCCTAGATTTAAGTCGTGGCTCAGAAGGCTGGTTCAACCTTCGCGTCTGTTTATATACCCCCGTGCTCCCTTGTTCTCCTACTCTCACTAGGCTACACTGAGTTTGTTCACTTATTTCACGTGATTCTGGCTTGTCTGGTGATCACAGCGAATTATAGACCACAGACATAAATCATTCACATCCTAAAATTGCTTACCTTACACAAACAGAGTAACATTAGTAACAATGATAGGACAATAATCATTTGCAACATACACACTGTGTCTACTGCAACACAAGTACAGACATCATGGGATGAGATATACATTAAGGCAAAAATGTTTGTTGTTCGTCCTTCGCATATGAAGATGACCATGACTTCACAAATTGGTCTGTTGACGGTGACTGTGGGTCCGGAGATGGCTGATTTGTCCTATCCGGGCTCGGAAGGTGGGGCCCACATTGTGGGCATGGGTAGTCTGCTGTTGGACTTGTGGCGGAGGCAGGTCTAGACTTGCGCACGTTGCGTTTTTGTTTGGCCTCGGTGATTCCCTTGGCTTCTACTGCTTTGGCTCCTTTCGTTAGCCTGCAGTGCCTCGCGGGACGATCTAGGGCCTGCGTTTCCCACTAGTCGTTCAGGATTCCAAGTTCCTTTAGAGAGACTTTGAGGCAGTCCTTGAAACGTTGCGGAGGATTTTGTGAAGACAGCTCAGGTGGAATCGATTGAGCTGCTTTGCGTGTCTGCTGTAGACAGTCCAGGTCTCGGTGGTGTAGAGAAGAATGGTAAGAACCACCGCCCGGTAGACCTTCAGCTTTGTGGAGAGGCTGAGTCCTCTGCGCTCCCAGACATTCTTGCGAAGCCTTCCAAAGGCGGCACTGGCCTTGGCGACTCTGGTGTTAATTTCAGCATCTATGTGTATGGCACGTGAAAGTGTGCTGCCTAGGTAGGTAAAGTGGTCAGCTGCCTGGAGTTTCTGTCCCTTCACCATGATTTGTGGCACTGTGTATGGTTGTCTGGGGGCTGGTTGGTACAAGACTTCGGTTTTCTTGGTGTTGATGGTGAGGCCGAAGGTGTCACAGGCTAAGGCGAAACGGTTCATTTCGTTTTGCATACACTCTTCTGTGCTAGCGTTGAGTGCACAGTCGTCGGCGAAAAAAAGTTCCCTGATGACTGTTTCTTTCACATTGCTATGTTGAACAGAGTGCCGTCGGTTCTGTATCTGATACGGATGCCATCTTCACTGCTGTGGAAGGCATCTGTTAGCATGGCGGAGAATACCATGCTAATCTCATTCTTTCTGGCTTTGAAAGGCCTAAGAGGACTGTCACAGTCAAGTGCCTTGTCAGGCCAACCATTCATAGTATTAATAAAAAACTTGTCTTAGTACAGGGTCAGTTTTTGTCTCTGTTGCAAGTTTGTCAACGTCAAGTCGTGTTTTGTCTATCAAATCAAACAAAAAATCTATTTCTTCAGGCACATAAGGAACAGCTGTTTGTTCTGGCAGTGGTAGTCTACTGAAGGCATCAGCGTTGTTCTGTGGACCTGGACGATACTCCAAGTGGTAGTTGTACGCTGATAATGTTATGGCCCACCGTTGCACACGAGCGGATGCATGCTCCGGGATTGGTTTAGCTTCACCAAAAAGTCCTAACAGAGGCTTGTGATCTGTCACAATGGTGATTGCTTGACCAAAAATGTACTTATGAAATTTCCTGACTCCAAATACTACAGATAACGCTTCCTTATCCAACTGTGAATACTTCTTTTCAGCTGGATTGAGTGATCGACTTGCGTAAGCAATCGGCTTATCACCAACACTATCCACATGGGAAAGAACTGCGCCAACACAGTGGCGTCGGTGGCATAGTGGTTAGGCTACCGGACTCGTAATCGCGAGATTACAGGTTCGGGGGTTCGAGCCTCAGCTCGGTCCGACGTTGTGTCCTTGGGAATGGCACTTTACACGAACTTCCCACTTGGCTCGGTCCTATCGGAGACGGACATTAAACTAGGAGGTCCCGCCCCTTAAATAACCTAATAGTGATGATATTGCCGTTAAAGTCATACCAGTTTGCGCCAACACCATCAGGCGAGGCGTCACAAGTAAAAATGATCTTTTTTGAAGGATCAAAATGCACCAAAATAGAATTCGATGAAAGGAACAGCTTAGCACCATTGAACGTTTGAGTCTGTGCGCGCCCGCATTGCCGTCGGGCACTCTTGGAGAGTAAAGCATAAAGTGGAGCAAGGCGTTGAGACAAGTTGTCGATGAAGCTTGAGTAGTAGTTGATGAGACCCAAGAACGATTTCAACTGCTGTATGTTCTGTGGTGCAGTAGCATCCTTGATGGCTCTGATCTTTTCCTCTTGTGGCTGGAGTCCATGCTTGTTAAGACGATAACCAAGGAAGTCAACTTCATTCTGAAGGAACTTAAATTTGTCTTTGTTGATGACAAGGCCTTTTTCCTTACACACTGATAGTGTCTTGCTCAGTGTCTCAAGGTGATCTGTGTCGTTGGCCCCGGTCACATACAGATCATCAAAATAAACGCACGTGTTTGGAATGTCCTGGAATAAACTATCCATCACTCTTTGGAAAATACTGGGGCTTGAAGCTTTTCCAAAACACAGTCTCTGGTATTCATATAGACCTTTGTGAGTGTTGGTCGTTGTGAGTTTTCTTGACTCTGGATCTAACTGGAGTTGGGTGTAAGCATGAGAAAAGTCTGTTCTTGAAAACTTCTCTCCAACAGATAGTTTTGCTGCAAGGTCTTCAATACGTGGAATTGGATATTTTTCTTCATGGATGACCCTGTTCACCGTTACCTTGTAGTCTCCGCATATGTGCAGTGTTATCGCGTTTCAGCACTAGCACAATTGGTGTTGCCCAATCGGAGAAAGAGACTTTATGAATAATACCAGCGGATTCCAGGCGTGAAAGTTCTTCTTCAATGCCATCTTTCACTGAGAAGGGGGGCTGTCAAGCTTTACAATACTTTGGGACAGCGTTTTCTTTAAGATGTAGTTTCACCACACGGTCGTTCAGTAAGCCGTTTTCACCAAACACACTTTGATTTTCCTGTAACACATGTTTTAGTGACCTTAGCAGTTGCGAGTGCCGTAAAACCTTATACTATATAAATATATATATATACATGTTTTAGGTCATTTGGTACCTTGAGGGGGAAGATGGAGTTCCAATCCAACTTAATGTACGATAGCCAGGTGGAGGCTCATGGTGATTGTGTAGCAATTCACACAGTTCCTGAAATGATTTATCCGTGATGGTGTGGGGCATGCACAAGTCCTTAAGTAATCTAAACTGCTGTGCACCAATCACTGTCAAAACTATCGCACGTTGCTTGGAATCATCAACAGAGTTAGCCTCAAAGTAAAACTTTAACCTTTCCTCATAGTCCGAAAACTTTTCTTTCGTAAGCACAAATTCATCAATTTTGTGAAACAGTGACATGGCAGCTGTAGGTATTGTTTCTTTACTGTGCTCAAAACAGAACTAACCTGACTTGACAGCTTACAGCTCAATGTAGTGAAAAAATAACTGCACAATGTTAATCTTTAACCACTTCACACGTTTAATCCACGTCGCCAAATATGTGATGCCTCATAATACGTTAGATACACACGGATATTCTAGCACAACAATCGTACACTGAAAACAGCAACCGACCATTTTGAATGTTTATGACACTACTTGATCATAACTTTAATTGCTCATCCTGAAGAGTACCAAATTAATACATTCAAACAAGGAGACATAACTACGGCAATTAACAATAGTGAACCAAATACAGTTATTGCTCATTTAACTAATATTACAGGGATATATTACAGTAACTTTTGAAGAGTGGTAATTTGGTGAGAAGCAGACATCCTGGCAAAGATGATGCAAATATTTGTGGAGTTCATGGGAGAGTCTGTCAATCATACAAAGTGTGCGATGACAGACATGGACCCCAGTGAAATTATAATTATTAATGCAACCAAACAATACCTGCCTCATGCTTCAACTATGCTTTGTGCAGTCCATGTGCACAAGGCTATGGAAGTGAGGTTACAGATACTGCAGTGATCAAAAGAAGTGAGGGGCCGCCTGCACCCGCTCGCCCATGTCCTTGTCACCACCAATGACATTGCTTCTGGTCTGTAACTATGAAAGATACCGAAGGTCATTTTTCACCATCATCCATCAAAATTCTTCCATCTTAACCGTCTTATAATACACGGATGCCAAATGTCCGGTTTTGTCCGGGTTTTTTTCATCCGTTGGAATAGGGGAGAGGTAAGAGAGAATATGTTTTTGTTTGCTCATTTAAAAGCTTTACAAGGTTCGGTTTAGGTGAGATGTGATGCTCCGCTCATTTTCAGGGGTTTTTTTTTTCGAAAATCATTTGGCATCCCTGATAATAAGTGTTCATAAGACCGTAGAGCATGCATCAGAATAACATTGAGTATCTTATGATTATAATTGTTATTTATATTGCCTCTCATTTATATTATGCATGTGATTGTAAGCCTGCGTGTGTGTGTATGTTTGTGTATGTGTGTGTGCACGTGGTGAAACAGCATACCAATGTGCCAGGATCTGAACAATAAAGATGTATCTTATCTTATCTTACATTTAGCCAAAATGTGAATGATATTATGTCTTTGTCACATGTTTTTTAAGATTACGTTGCCAACCACTGGCTTAATTACATTGAAACTTGGACATACCATGCCCTCCTGCCTCCACAGTCGTCTTTACCTTAACGACGCCAGCAATGAGTGGGAGGGGGGAGAACAGAAGGCTGAAGGAGATCCTGAGCAGCATCGCTTCTGGTCTATGTATGGCCATGGCTGTGAACAAGCTGTTTCCGCTCTCACTGACTTTGCAGTTGGATGTGAGGGCTGGCTTCCTCAGCTGTTGAAATGTCTTCCATTGACTTTCGCGACTTGAATCCTCGTTGGCAGTGTTTGTATTTTATTTTTTCCCTCTCCTACTGTGCGGTTAATGCTTGAAGATCATGCCTCTTTCCCTGTTCCTGTTGTTGCTGTTGTTGATGGCTTTGACTGTCTTGATGCTACTGGTGTTCATTACCGTCTTAGTGAAGACGGAAGCTTGGATTTTCTGATCAGGGGAAGGAAAGAAAATTGAAAAAAAATGAAGGTCTCGATCTAGACCTACCCATCCAGAGTTCATCCTGTTTCTCACAGCCTGCATCGCGTTCCCACCCACCCCCTTTCAACCCTACCGTAGGCTAACCCTCGCCCATTTTCTTGGCTTTGTAGCTCATATTACAAGGCACACTAGATCTAGCAATACAATGTGTTAGGAATCGAAGATGGGCCTTGTGCTTCGCGTGAGATGTAGAGAAAGGAGAAAAATTATTTGCTTTTGGGGCCGCTAATTCTTTCTTTTTTTTTTTTTTTTTTGGTTATCGCGACCTCGTTGAAAGCGACTTTGGTCTGTTTTCAACCTCGTTGGAGCCGACGTACGTTTTCAAAGAGATATAGAGGAAAAAATCGGGGATCAAGGATTGCCTCGTTGGAGCCGACTTCTTGTTGAATGTGACCTCGTTGAATGCGGCACCCACTGTAATTAATTTTATCCCCGAAAAATTCTCTTTAGTGTTAGTAAGAGTTTTACGGCATTTGCAACCGGTCAGATAAGTGTGTTACAAGAGAGTAACATACACAAAAAAGGAGGAGGAGAGATAAGGACGATAGATGTTTAATAGTAATAGGAAAGAATGAGCAGACCGCACCAGAGCACCCGCCAACCACCCACCCAAAATGCTCTAATTCGCAGCAATAAACTTGCATAACTTTGGAACAGTATATCCAATCTTCATGCTGGGTTTTTTTGTTTTGTTTTTTCTCAGCTCTTTTAGCTCTACCTAGTGACATGTACATATATAGTGAATGGTTTTCAAAATAATCTTTTCATGAAACTCCCTTAAACTATAAATGCATTTATTGTTATTGCCTTCTATTTATATATAGAAATTTATTCCAAGTCTAAGAGTACCATGCATGGTATGTAACATTTTAGATTTGTGTGGGTGAAGAATGGTTTCCGTTTCGGTATGTTGGCCTGTCCCCTTGGTTTTATGCCCTGCATAATTTAGCAAAGTTTGATCATTTTTTGCATAATTTCTGATTATTTCCTTTATCAATCTTTGTTAAAATTAACAAAATCACATAATTTCACATATTTGGGCTCAGTTGGCATAGTTTCAGAAATGTTCTTGCATACTTTACTTTTCCGATCCAGCGGCCATTTGTGTTCTAGCCCTTCTGTCTGGATTTTTCTTGCATAAAACGACGGGGACAGGTTGGCTACTATGTTGTAGTTTTTGTTGCATAAAACGACGGGGACAGGTTGGCTACTATGTTGTAGTTTTTGTTTTGCTTCAACAAGACGGGTAATTTATACATCATGTAGAGCTCCAGTTTTATGGGAATGATACATCATGTAGAGCTCCAGTTTTATGGGAATGATACATCATGTAGAGCTCCAGTTTAATGGGAATGATACATCATGTAGAGCTCCAGTTTTATGGGAATGATACATCATGTAGAGCTCCAGTTTTATGGGAATGATACATCATGTAGAGCTCCAGTTTTATGGGAATGATACATCATGTAGAGCTCCAGTTTTATGGGAATGAAACATCATGTAGAGCTCCAGTTTTATGGGAATGATACATCATGTAGAGCTCCTGTTTTATGGGAATGATACATCATGTAGAGCTCCAGTTTTATGGGAATGATACATCATGTAGAGCTCCAGTTTTATGGCAATGATACATCATGTAGAGCTCCAGTTTTATGGGAATGATACATCATGTAGAGCTCCAGTTTTATGGGAATGATACATCATGTAGAGCTCCAGTTTTATGGGAATGATACATCATGTAGAGCTCCAGTTTTATGGGAATGATACATCATGTAGAGCTCCAGTTTTATGGGAATGATACATCATGATACATCATGTAGAGCTCCAGTTTTATGGGAATGATACATCATGTAGAGCTCCAGTTTTATGGGAATGATACATAATGATACATCATGTAGAGCTCCAGTTTTATGGGAATGATACATCATGTAGAGCTCCAGTTTTATGGGAATGATACATCATGTAGAGCTCCAGTTTTATGGGAATGATACATCATGTAGAGCTCCAGTTTTATGGGAATGTCACATCATGTAGAGCTCCAGTTTTATGGGAATGTCACTTTGTACATATTTTGTACATTATCTACTTTTGTATTGTGTAAATGCAATGACCACTCTTTTGTACAAACTGTCTTTAAGAAAAAGGAAAAACCCAGGATTCATATGAACATCATGTTAATATCTGATCATACATTATAATACTAATACAATCTTAGAATTTAGGCACCATAACATCTCAATTGGTGATGAGTTCAAATGTCATCCAAAGTAGAGCGCTTCGTTTGTTATAACAACAGTGTGAACAAGTCCAGCCTGGTTTGGCTTTTCTATTCACAATGATTTGCATCATGTTCAGAATTTGTTTACAATAAATGACATTTGTCAGTTTTGAACCTCAAATGAAGTGTGGTTGTTTTCTGTATAATTATTTTCTCATTGCACCTCCTTTCCTCACTGCTCTCTGATCATGTTCTGTCTTCTGCTTTCGTCTCCATTTTCTGCCCCGCCCTATCTCACTATCCCACACCCTATCCCTTTGCCTCCTCCTACTCCTAGTTCTACCTAGTAGAGAATCTTTGGCTCTACTGCTAGTTCAGAAGCCTATTTTCCGGGAACTAGATATCTATACTATAAATAGATTGAAGTTTGGTCTTTGGTTTGACCCATTCATAGATTAGCTTTAAAAAGGAGATAACTCTATGGGCCCATGTCAAAGGTTGGGATGTGGGTGGTTTGCGGGTGCTCTGGTGTGGTTTGCTTCTTCTTTCCTATCAAACATCTATCGTCCTTATCTCCCCTCCTTCTTTTTTATGTTTGTTACTCTCTTGTGACACCTCCAATCTTCTGGCGCTCACAATATGACCTTATGCAGTTGCGAGCGCCGTAAAACCTCTACATTGTAGGCCTACTAAAACTAACTAAAAGGTTGGGATGTGGGTTGACGAATCAGAAATGCGCGTCGCCACCACTAGGAGAACAAGCCACGCTTCTGTCCCAAGTTCCTGTTCACGTCTATTGTTAAAGTAAAGGCTGGGTAAACAGTGACCGGTCACCTCACTTACAATTTGTGTATGAGTTGTGGGCGGGGCTTATAGGTTATGACGGACCACACGCTTCCCTCACCAGCAGCTGAAAAGTTTATAGTTACCGGGTGGTCAGCTTGAGTAGAATTGTAAATGGGCTGATTCATCAATGTCACGCTCATAACTGTGCCTTATCTACAACAGGGAACTTCTGCTTTTTCTTTTCAAATCTTTACTTTTGTCATTTTCCTCTACTTCTTTTGTATGTTTGTCACACTCTTGTGACCCGCTATTTCCGGGGTGCCTTGAAAGTCGAAACAGACTTTGTGCTGTTGAAGCAAGAGAGGTGTGCAGAGTAAGCCTGATTCCCAGCAAAGACTTCTCTGTTGACATCCACCCCTTGGCGCTCATATGACCTTATTCAGTTGCCAGTGCCGTAAAACCTACTAAATAATAGTAAATTAACTGTTGAGCGTTTTCTCATTATACAAATGTGAAAAGAAAGTGGAGGCTGCTTGTCTAAAATACATTTAAGAAAAAAGTTTCGCAGTTCGATCATGACACCACGGATATCTTCCCCTTTTTGAGAATCAAACAAAGAAGTGCTTATGCTCACGCAACATAGCTCTAGCCAGGCACAGGTTTAGTTTGGTTTTAGTAAAAGTTTTACGGCACGTGCAATACAATAAGGTCATATAAATACGGGAGATTAGAGGTGTTAGAAAAGGAAAAGATTAACAAACAACAAAACAATTTTTTTTAAAAAGTAGATCAGGCCGATAGATGTCTGATAAGACGAAGTGGCATCGGTGGCCTAGTGGTTTGGCTCTCGGACTCGCAACCGTAAGGTCGTGTGTTCGAATCCCGTCAGGGGCCCGACGTTGTGTCCTTGGGAAAGGCACTTAACACGAATTTTCCTCACTTCACCCAGGTGGGAATGGGTACCCGACTATAGACAACGAAAGATCTTGTCAGTTTGTTAGTGTTTGGGCAGCTGCTTGCACTGTATGCTTCTCGGGAAACTGAGAATGTTTCGGAGTGGTCTGCTGGGGTAATAGTATAGTGTAACGGGCATATAGCCTGCTGTTGAGCGGGGATGTGCGCTTTACAAATGCTATTTATCATTATTATTACATGTATTATTAAAGGAACAAACCACACCAGAGCACCCACCAACCACCCGCCACCTGAACACAGCTGGGATTAGGAACATGGTCTGGAGATAAAACGACGACGTGGGTGATAAGGCGAGAGATAAAATAACGACGTTGATGATGGTGTGAAGTGAAATCGTGGGCCCGTGGAAATACTTTTTCCCTTCATGTCCTAACACGACGAAGTAGCAAATATGAAATGTATAGCTCGCATCTTATCATCATCCATCAAACTTCTTCCTTCCTAATCATCTTTTTATAAGTTCTCGTACGACTTAGCAGTATGCACCAGAATACCATTGAGTTCAATCTGAACTCTGAGTATGATATATATCTAGCTAAGCATTATTATTGTTGATATAACTGTTCATTTATAATTTATAATATTTTGCATGTGACTGTAAGCCTGTTTACGAGTGCAACTATACTGCGCGTGTGTGCATGTTTGTGTGTGTGTGTGTGTGTATGTGTGTGTGTGTGTGTGTGTGTGTGTGTGTGTGTGTGTGTACGAGATGTACGCTGCGCTTGGCTTGTGCTGCTTTAGCTCCCTTTGTTAGATTGCAGCGCCACGTGGAACGATCTAGGGCCAGCGTTTCCCAC